TTGATAATCGCGTGACAATTATGTCCGCTGTCTTCAGAATTGTTGCTGTGCCCGCTCCTTCCCACGTGACTGATTCTCTTGCTCATTAAACTTCTCTGTACACCGTGTGGGAACGCCAAATCGTTGCGCTTGTTGATGGACTGGGAGCCCCGCTACCGCTTTTAATATACAGGGTGTCCCAAAAATGCATACGCATTTTAAATACCACTCCGCATACTGTATTTTCCGGTCTAGATCATCGTCATTAAGAGCATGGACTAATCTCAGGATGTAACTTTTCCAATAGCAACGTTGTATAATGCGAGATCCTTCAGTGAAAAAAAACAGTAAAAAAGATACTTGATAATATTTTTGCCTTTTTTAAATAATAAAATTATAACAAACACCAAGTTTAAAATTATTTAAAATGTATATACATTTTTTGGAACAACCTGTATACACGATGGCAACCCGACAGGCCACCTAGCACGTGGCTCAGTGGATGGAGCGGTAGCCGTCTATCCAACGGAACGCTGGTTAGAGTCTCAGGAATTTCGAAACCTGGATTTGACAGTCGTTGGTGAACGTTCACCGACCGCTAGCAGCCCTCATCTGTCCCGCTCTGCCTTGGATATATGAATGTAGAAATTAGCAGGCATAGGCTTGCTTCGCATAGCAAGGAAATAATAAATTAGATCAAGCAGACTATGTATTTTAAATCCAGAGAGCTTACACAACCTTGTCTTACCATTTTTTCAATAGCAGTATAACTATGCAGACCTGAATATTATTTATAAAAAGCAGACGTCTGCTTTCCAAATTGTCGCATGATGGTTTCAGTGAGACCTACAAATGTGTTTACGAGGAAGAGACTGGATTTCGTGAATGCTATTGTTATTTTAGCTGCCGATTCCTTGAAGGCATATCACCCCCTGCTGACCTCATTTGGACACAGAATTATTTGGACTCGTGACTGTTGATGAGTGTTCAGATAATCGCAGCGTTGACATGCCACGCACTTCTTATCCGGCGAGCCAATAACCTTGTTGCATTCTCTGGATCCGAAATAACACGAAACCCGGCTGCCGTTAATTTATGGTGCATTGTGTAAGGCCGGAGCACTGCCCAGCCACCTTTTATGCATCGACTACCCAACTGGTTGCCAATTTTAGCTACTGCCGATCTCTCTCTCGCTCTCTATGTGGCCTTGGCGTGTTGGATCCCACGCACGCGCGCGTGTGTCTGTGCGTAGCTTCGGCCTATGCCCTCTGAAGCTCTTAATGCTGCAGCCGCCTAGACAATCGGTGGTGGATTGTGTTTGTGTGTGTTTGTTTGCGGACGCAAAGTGGCAGTAGGCCTCGATCAACTTACCATCGCCGGGCCGGCCAATTTTTAGGACCGGTACTACTTACTTCCATTTTAAGTAGTTGAAACGCCGCCGTTATCTCCTACCTACTGGAATGATTTGTTACAAGACCGACACCACTCACCGAAAACCCTTGCCCCAGGGTCCAATCCTCTGGGCTATTGCTGTTGCACCTACCGGTGAGACAGCAGTTCTGCACGCCTGGCAAGATGGCCGGAAGAAAATGCCCATTGGGTCCATCCAATGACAACACCACCGCATCGGATTTATGTGCGTACGACTGAAAACATCCTCAGTACCATGCCACCCACCACTGCCTCCGTCGATTACAACGAGGAAGGCAAACGCGGTCACTTACGTTGGATTAGAT